AATAATAATAATAATAATAATCAATGGGCCAATAAATGGTATATGTTTTTAGGACAAAAGTGATAAAGTTATGTTTGTGTAACAGAATTGATTTTATACTTGTGATTATTTTGATGAATTTAAAGAAAGAAAAGTTTAAATTATATTACAAATTATTTTAGAAAAGTTTAAATTATTTTTTTTCAAAAATTAAATTTTTAAAAAAACTTCCAATATCTTTGTGCTTTAAATTTTTTAATTTAAATTCTGCACAACTTTTTTTGAAACTGAAATTTGAAAAATATGGCAAAAATAATTTTTTTAATAGTAATAAAACTTTAGGAAATAAAATTAAATAGTAATTTTTTCTTTTTTTAGCACGTTATGGTTTCCATTATATTTGTTTATAATTTATAAAATGAAATTATTGAAAAAAAAAAAATATGAAATCATATTTTGCAGGTACATATGCAAGAGCAAATAGCCTCAATAAAAGCAAGCATTGAAAGACATCCAGCATTTGAAAATGAAACTGATCAATGTCCAACAAATGTTGGAATGCAAAAAAGGAAACTTTATTTTAGCGCCGGTAATTCCTTTCTATCACTTTCCATATCTTTGCATGTATAATCTCAAATTAAAATTTAGCTGTAAAATTTAACTATTTTGTGGTAATTTTTTTTCTTGCGTCCTACAACAAACTATTAAAGTATTATTTATATTAGTATAAATTGGGAAATTTAATCTACTCAACACGAATTTACATTTTTTGTTCGTAATTTTCGTTTTTGAATGCTTCAATGAACACAATGGATATTGGAGAAAGTGACCTTTTCAGGATTCTAAAATATAAATTCTAAATTATAGCATATTAAAACATTGATTAATGTAGTTATTTCAGATTTCTTTGAACCTCAATTAATGGCTAATCCACCGGTGTTAGCTGTGCAATTTGTATACGAACTACGGAAGATGATTGATATAGCCAAGGATCGTATTAGGATGAAGCGACATGTTCCGACCCTAACAACTATTTCGGAAGATAGTGAAAGCGACGAATATCTAGAAATACCGCGACCACCAAGTCGGATGAATGAGCGTATTGATGAGCTTTCTCCAAAATCTCTTAATTCAGTGGATTCTGGATGTGATTCGATGAGTGATGAGGATGTTCAGAATCAGCAAGTGTTAACACAAGATCATGAATCAGAATTGGAGCAAATGCGGGAAATGAATAAAGGTGAAAAGTGGAATGAGATTGAATTGGAAAGAAAAAAAATGAAAATAAGGATATGCAACCGGATCCTTGTCATCAAAAAGTTCGGCAATGTACAATAATACCAAATAAAGTTGGTAATTTGATGCCACGGTCAGTCACCAGAGTTGTACCTGTTTCCAGGATACCTACCACATCTTCATCTCGAGTAACTTTAGTGACAACATCACAACGACTAAATCCAAAACCTTTCTCATCTACTGATCTATCCAAAACAATTTATGAGCAACAAAATGGTACGAATGCATTGGTGGAAAATTCCATTTCATCTACAGCATCAAAACTGACAAATTTGGTATCAGCAAAACGCGAACCACCAAATCTGAAACGTATCCTGAATAATGTACCACCACCTTTACCGGAAACTACTCCACCAAGTACGCCACCATCATGCCGTAATCGATTATATAGCGGACGACGGAAAGCTTATGCCGTTTTTCCAAATAGTGATTTGATGCTTAAAAAATCATTACCAAGACGATCAAAACGGCAACAACGATTTGGAACTGCTACCGCAGTTGCCGTGCAAACAACATTATCATTATCACCGCTATCACTAGCATCATCATCTGTGTTACAATCATCACCACAATCATCATCGTCATCGTTGTCATCATCATCATCATCGTCATCATCAACATCATCATCATTGTCTTGTGTATCATCTACTACGTAATAAATCATTTCTAGGTCATATTATTCGGGTTTGACATTTTCTTTTCGTCGACATTTGTAATCATTTAAAGAAAAAGAAAAATCAATTCTCTACTTTTATTTTCCAGTAGTTTATTTCTTGCACTGCCTTTCTTTTCTCTCCTACAGTAACAAATTAAATAAGAAAAAAAGAAAAGTTGATGGAATATTTTGCGTTATGAAATTAAATTGAAATTATTTATATCATCAAAAAAAAAGTGTCAAGATGGAATGAATGAGGTGTTGATGGTATATCATTTTAAGTTAGCGACAACTGCTTAAAACAGATCACTTATCACTAAATTATCACAATTTCCGAGACGTGAAAAGAATGGTTGAATTAACTTCAGTAAGCATTTATTTACATATATATGTTAGAATCAATAAGTTAATATTTATAACTTAGTAGCTCACGACAATCCCATTTCATGTACATATTTTTGATATGCAATTACATTTCAAAAAATATCGATAATCATACTGAAATGTTTATATCTTCTAGATAGTCTTAAAGATTTAAAAAAAAAAAAAAAAAAAAAAGAAAAAAAGAAAAATAACTACTATAGTAATTTACTAACTAAA